TACAGAGTGCGGAGTGTAAAGTGTAAAGTGTGGAGTGTGGAGTGTAAACTGTAGAGTGTAAAGTGTAGAGTGTAGAGTGTGGAGTGTCAAGTGTAGAGTGTAGTAGAGTGTGGAATGTAAAGTGTAAAGTGTAGAATGTCCGAAATACCGCGCATTCCGCACACACCTGCACCAAATTCTGCTCCTGTCGCGCAGAATCACACTCTCACGGTGTCCTACGCCGACGCCTGCCACGCAATTTGCACTTTGTCACCACTTGACGCAGCCCTGACAATGCGATTCGCAAAAACGCGCAACACGACACGTCTAAAGTGCTGCGCCTGCCACGCAAGCATGAACATGGACAAGTCCAAAGTGCTGCACATGCCACGAGAAATGAAAGCCACCTTCTGAAAACGACGCAAAAGTATGGCGCCTGCCACACAAAACAACGCTCAACACCTTATGAAACATGTTGGAACTGCTGGAATGTCACAAAGTGCCACGCCTGCCACGCGAAACGAGGCTACGCGACGATTGAAACCTCCAAAGTGACCACTTTTGCAGAAGTCACCATAGGCACGGCCATACGGTCCTCACGTGGACGGTTGCAGACGGTTGCGAGCGATTGCGGACAGCTGCGGACGGTTGCAAACGGTTGCGCACATCTAGCAAACACACTCTCAACCCCCAAACCCCCAGAGTGAAACGGGAACCCTTGCTACGCATTCGGGAAAATGTCTTTAAAAAAACTTATCATCCCGGCAAGAGACCCCAAACAGTGTGCAGTTAGGATTCTACAGGGAAAGGCGGGAAGGGTTATAAAGCATGGCCACCAAGTGTGGGGGGACGTCTCACCCATCTACTGCATCCACCGCTTCTGACCCTGCCAAACATCTCTCAAAACATGCAAGATACCAGTGGTCAAACCTAGGTGTGACATGACACGCGAGGCTAAGCGAGGACACCATAACTGAGGTCAAGCGAGCCAATTTCCTTTGCACAGATTCAGCAGCGGTGCTAGGGGGTCCTCAACGCCTCTGTTCTTAAATCCACCGTAATAGTGAGCTGGGAAAGTGTCATTGAGCCACCTATGAGCAAACATGGCTGTGTCGCCGATTCTCCATATCAAGCTACTAACACAAATAGGTCTCAAGTCGGAAGCCGTCAAGGTTCCATCAGTAGGACAGACATGTCTCTTACCGATCTGAACCTGTCTGTAATGCTTCCAGATCTGGGGCACTTGTCCCACATTTCGGCAGTGATGGGAAAAACAACAGCCAATTTCTTGGGCTGTGGACCATCAAGACCTGTGGCTTTGTCGCAATTGGCATAGGCAGCCTTCCGGAGGTGGGCTCCGGAAAGGGGGCGCGACAGATAGATAGACGGATAGAGAGACAGGCAGATAGATAGATAGACATAGAGATAGACACAGCGATAGACATAGAGTTAAACATAGAGATAAACATAGAGATAGACATAGCGATAGACATAGAGATAGACATAGAGATAGACATAGAGATAGACAAAGAGATAGACATAGCCATAGGCATAGAGATAGACATAGAGATAGGCTTAGAGAAAGACATAGCGATAGATATAGAGATAGACCAAGAGAAAGACATAGAGATAGACATAGAGATCGACATAGATATAGACATGGAGATAGACATAGAGATAGACATAGAGATAGACATAGAGATAGACATAGAGATAGACATAGAGATAGACATATAGAGACAGACATGAAGAGATAGGCATTTAGAGATAGACATACACAGATAGACATAGAGATAGAGATAGAGAAAGACATAGCGATAGATATAACGATAGGCATAGAGATAGACATGGGGATAGACAAAGAGATAGAAACAGCGATAGACGTAGAGATACACATAGACATAGAGATAGACATAGAGATAGACATAGAGATAGACATAGAGATAGACATAGAGATAGACATAGCCATAGGCATAGAGATAGACATAGAGATAGGCTTAGAGAAAGACATAGCGATAGATATAGAGATAGACCAAGAGAAAGACATAGAGATAGACATAGAGATAGACATAGATATAGACATGGAGATAGACATGGAAGCAGACATAGATATAGACATAGAGATAGACATAGAGACAGACATATAGAGACAGATAAAGATATAGACATACACAGAGACACAAAGAGATAGGGATAGATAGACATAGAGATAGACATAGAGATCGACACAAAAATCGACATAGATATCGACAAAGAGATCGACAAAGAGATTGACATAGATAGAAAAATAGATAGATAGATACGTAGATCGATACTGAGAAAAGCAGATAGATAGATAGACAGACAGATAGATAGAAAGAAAGATAGATAGATACCTTAGATAGATACCTTAGATAGCTAGATACCTTAGGTAGAAAGACACCTTAGATAGATACACACCTTTGATAGATAGATACCTTAGATAAAAAGATACCTTAGATAGGTAGATAACTTAGAGAGATAGATACTTAGACAGATAGATACTTAGATAGATAGATACTTAGATAAATAGATACTTAGATAGATAGATAGACAGATAGATAGATAGATAGATGGATAGATAGGTAGATAGATAGATAGACAGACAGACAGATAGATAGATGGATAGATGGATAGATGGATAGATGGATAGATGGATAGATGGATAGATGGACAGATAGATAGATAGATGGATAGATAGGTAGATAGATAGACAGATAGATAGATGGATGGATGGATAGATGGATAGATGGATAGATGGATAGATGGATAGATGGATAGATGGATAGATGGATAGATGGATAGATGGATAGATGGATAGATGGATAGATGGATAGATGGATAGATGGATAGATAGATAGATAGATAGATAGATAGATAGATACTTAGATAGATAGACAGATAGATAGATAGATGGATAGATAGATAAAAAGACATATAGATGGATAGATGGATGAATAGATGGATGAATAGATAGATGGATAGATGGATGAATAGATAGATGGATAGATGGATAGATGGATAGAAGGATAGATAGATGGATAGTTAGATAGATAGATAGATCGATAGATAGATAGATCGATAGATAGATCGATAGATAGAGATAGATAGATAGATAGGTAGATAGATAGATCGATAGATAGATAGATACTTAGATAGATAGAAAGAGAGACAGACAGGCGGACAGACAGGCGGACAGACAGATAGATAGATAGATAGATAGAAAGACAGATAGATAGATAGATAGACACATACTTAGATAGATAGGTAGATATATAGGTAGATAGATAGATAGATAGATTAGATAGATAGATAGATAGATAGATAGATAGATAGAAAGACAGACAGACAGACAAACAGACAGACAGATAGATAGATACATAGGGAGATCGACCGTTTGACCGATCGATCGACAGATGTATACCACAAAGATAGAGGGGCAGAGCAGGATAGAGCTAGAAATGTTTCTCTAGGTGTGACAGTTCGCGGTCCTATCTCGTCATGATGTAGACTATTTGTTGGCCGTCGGCAACGGCCACTATAGAAACTTTGCTGCGCTTGAAGGATTGAAATCCTGTGCCTCAAATTGCCTGGGCACATACTAAGGCTGTAAACATCTTTAGCCATTCTGGCCAAGGCTCTTTTCTTCAATTGGAGGCGTTCAGTTTCTGCTTCGTGCGCAGCATGCTCCAGTGAATTTTCCACAAGAACCGCCGTGATCAGATTCCTGGCAGGCGCTGCTGGCATTCCTGGAAGCACTCCATGGATAAAACGGGGCCAAACGCAACAATCCAAGTTACCACAAGCCACTGCCAGAACGTTCAAGCTCTTTTGGAAACAATTTCGTTCACAAAATGGATCACGAACCATTGGACCATTGGTCAAGGCTGAGATGCATCAGGCCAATCGAAACGATGAAGAGGATAGGGCCGAAATACAGAATCAACAGCGGCTTCTGCCTCAGCAAAGGGCTACAGACATCTCAAAGCAAGAATCCAAGCGGCAGTTCAAAACTGCTTGCACGACTTCCAGGCCTTTACTGCTCAATAAAGAACCTACTCAGTAGGTAGAATCCTTTCAAAATTTCATGTATGGAATTCTGCTAGCGGTTGATTGACAGCTTATACGGCAAGGTGGTTGGTCGGGGTGAATGGGGCCAAGTAGCTGCTAAGTAGCTTGAATCATGGTAGCTCCGCCTACTGCTGGTCATGAACACGGACCGTACGTTACACAAAGCGACGTTGCGAGGCGGCAGTTTTTGACACGGAGTCACCCAACATGGCCTGAATGGCTCTTTAACCGATAGCCCGCCGACCTCAGCTTGCGGCCGGGGGAGCGCATCAGAGAAGAAACTACAAGCAGCAAGAGGAGAAACAGAAGCAAGCAGCAAGCACAGAAAGAGAAGCAGAAGCAGAAGAAGGTGAGCAAAAAGATAGAAGAAAAAAGAGCGCGAGCAAGAACAAGAAGCAAGAAGCAAGAACAAGAAGCAAGAGGCGGCAGCGAGAGCAAGAACAAGAAGCAAGAGCCTAGAGAAGGAAAGAAAGGGGCGAGAAGCTGAACAAGAAGCTAGAGGAGAAAAGCCAAGCGGAAATAGTAGGTAGCAAGGGGCAAGAGAGAAAGAAGGATACGGAAGACCAAGACACGGAAGAAGAAAGCAAACGGCAAGAGCAAGAGGCAAGACCAAGCCATGGAAGAATGGGAGTTGCACACATTTCAGAGCTCTGAACGCAGGGGAAGCTAAATAGAATTTTGTGCAACATTGAAATTTGGGGCCTGGGGTTTTAATTTGTATACGTCTGTAAGGTTTGATTTTTCTGTCCATCCACTGTAGGTCGTTCGTTGTTAATAGGCACGAGGTTTCGGAGACATGTTAGGTCATGTCACTTCGATCATGCATGAGGTACACTTAGCGTGGCATAGTTTTTGTCTGGTGTGTCGGTAGTGACAAATCTCAAGAGTTCGTGCAGGTTTTGCAGCCAGGCTATTTTGAGCGCAGAAGGTAGGGATGCTTGCAAGGAAAGTGTCTGTAGACTCACATCCTTAAAGAATAATATGTTTCACTCAACCTACAAATCTGCGCACAGTAATGGACTTAATGTTGCTTCTTCTTTGAGGACCGTGAGTTCAAACAGGCGAATCCTGAGCTTTGGTCAGGCACGCAGTCGGACCGAATATTCGCTGCCTCACTTCGGGCATGGCCCTGTGCAATTACACCCCGTGATAAGCCAGGGTCCATGAGAGCTGGTCAGAGCACTATGTCGGCTCTGAAGCTGGACACTGTACAAGGCTGGAGTGGAGTGGTTGAATTTTCATCTCTCTGCAGTGCAGAATCTTTACACAAATTTCAGCCCAAATGCTGACTCGTATTTGCCAATACCCTTGCCAACAATGGCACTCTGTACAAGTCTCATGAGTCGTCAGCCTTGTTCTTTCCTTTTCGTTAACTCAAAGCGCGACGTTGATTTTCACTGTTCTGGCTCTACGAGGAGGTCTGTGCATGAGGTCTTGATGCTGTTCCTTGCAGCTGGTGAAACAAACCATTCCTTGTCACAACTCATGTCTCTATTTGTGGCAATGACCATCTTCAAAACCTGTACGGCATGAGACCAAGAACAGAAGACCAGCCACTTACAATTGAAGGCCCAAGATTGCTATGTCAACACACTCTCTCAAATTCAGTACAGTGCGATACAAGATGGTATAAATATTCCTAGGGTGCCACCCCTCTGTCGATTTACCAGCAAAAACCTTGGACCTCGCAAAGGGTAACCGAAGGACGTTTAGAAGTCAAACTTCCGACCCAAAAAAATATATATATATATTTGGACAGATGAAAAAGCAGAGGTGGGAAGAGTCAGAGAAGAGAACAAAAGAAGAAAGAAGATCAGAGAAGAGAAAAAGGCAGAAGACAGAAGATGCAGGGGCGTGAAAAGATAGCAAAGTCGCGAAACACTGTGTTTTTCCAGTGATTTGTGGCTCCGGAGGGTCGAAAAGTAGGCTCGCTAAAGCGGCGGGTGAGGAGCCATCTGGCCAGATGAGAGATGAAAAATTGCACACCGTTGTGGCGTGAAGCCAGGTTCGGAGCACTTTTGGAAGTTGAGATCTTGAGAAAGTGCACGCCGTTGTGGCGCGAAGCACATTTCGAAGTGAAAATGTACAAAGCACACCATGCTCGGAGCACTTTTGGAAGTTGAGATGATGAAAAGCGCACGCAGTTGTGGCGCGAAGCACATGTCCAAGTCAACATGTTAGCACATGCTAGGACCACTGTTGAAGGTTCAGACGTGATTTTGCTTGGCAAGCGCAAGGGATTCTGCACCTTGCCAAAAGTGAGAAAACGTGAGGATTTTGTAGCAGTTTCAAAAACGATGGCAGGCGTGGGACATTTCAAGAGGTTCTACAAAGATGCATTTCGCGTGGCAGGCGCTGTACAAGAGACATGTTCATCAGAGATGTTAGGAGGTCAGGGCGGAGATTTCCTGAGAGGGGTTGCACTTTACAGAGGAGGTTCAACAGCGGGGTTTGACTGGGGGTGTATGTGGTTACTGTAGTAAGGTGTAGTACAGTCAGTTTCACTGTACATGTCATGTCTGAACAGTTCATTTCTGTGGCAAATTGCAGAGGTGATGTGAGGTTGGTGCTGCCAAATCCTTCAGGAAGTGGACTTACGAAATCAGTGCGGCTGTACCTCGCGAAGGATGGGCTCAAGAAACGTCACTGAAGCCTTAGTCACCTATCTGTGTCACAAGCCTCAACCTGACTTGCTTCCTTTTTAGTCTCGCAGAATTACTGCATTTTTGTTGCTGCCAAGTTCAGAGATTGAGGAAGTCACGCAGAATAGCTTCGTTTTCAAGCTTGCAGATAGACAGATAGATAGATAGATAGATAGACAGAAAGATGGCTAGATAGACAGAGACAGACAGATTGATAGACAAATAGACAAAAATACATAGACAGAAAAATAAAGATATACAAACAAAGATAGACAACTGCAACTACACCACACTAGAACTACAACCACAGCTACGCTACAACTACAACTTCAACTACAATTACCGTTGCACAACGCTACAGCAACAACAACTACGACAACAACAACAACTACAACTACTGCTACTGCTAGTAGTACTACTACTAGTACTACTACTACTTCTTCTTCTTCTACTTCTTCTTCTACTACTACTACTACTACGACTATTACCACTACTACCACTACCACCACTACCACTACTACCACTACGTCTACCACTACCCCTACCCTACAACGGCAACTGCAACTACAACTACAACTAAAACTTCCGCTACACTTCAACTACAACAACTACATTTCAACTACACTACAACTACAACTCCAACAACAACTACAACTACAATTACTACTGCTACAACATTACAACTTCACCCACAGCTGCAGGATGTAGTGTGGTGTAGCGAAGTGCCATGTAATTGTAGTTGTAGTTGTAGTGTAGTTGTAGTCGCTGACGTCGTCCAATACGGCCCCGGGGAATTTGCTAGTTTTTAATAAACATGGGTTGGGGTGGGGTGGGGTAGGATGTTAACGTTCATGGTACGCTGCTGATGATGTTACGCTGCCCGTTGGGGTTGGGGTGGGGTGGGGTAGGATGTTAACGTTCATGGTACGCTGCTGATGATGTTACGCTGCCGTTGGGGTGGGTGGGGTGGGACGTTCTGCGCTGCCCGTTGGGGTTGGGGTGGGGTGGGGTGGGATGTTAACGTTCATGGTACGCTGATGATGTTACGCTGCCCGTTGGGGTTGGGGTGGGGTGGGGTGGGATGTTAACGTTCATGGTACGCTGATGATGTTACGCTGCCCGTTGGGGTTGGGGTGGGGTGGGGTGGGATGTTAACGTTCATGGTACGCTGATGATGTTACGCTGCCCGTTGGGGTTGGGGTGGGGTGGGGTGGGATGTTAACGTTCATGGTACGCTGATGATGTTACGCTGCCCGTTGGGGTTGGGGTGGGGTGGGGTGGGATCTTAACGTTAACGTGATGATGTTACGATGGTACGTTCATGGTATGATGTTACGCTGCCCGTTGGGGTTGGGGTGGGGTGGGATGTTAACGTTCATGGTACGCTGATGATGTTACGCTGCCCGTTGGGGTTGGGGTGGGGTGGGGTGGGATGTTAACGTTCATGGTACGCTGATGATGTTACGCTGCCCGTTGGGGTTGGGGTGGGGTGGGGTGGGATGTTAACGTTCATGGTACGCTGATGATGTTACGCTGCCCGTTGGGGTTGGGGTGGGGTGGGGGTGGGATGAATATGTGTATATATATGTGTGTGTAAACGGCTATCCAGTCAAGCCGAAGTTATTCATTTGTCGTCATTCACATGTCGTATTGAGCTTCGATCTTGGAGGCAGTAGCATCTCCCGGATTTCATTTATGTGTGTCAGTTTGGCGAGATTCAGTTTGCGGTAATTAATTTTGCAAGAATTCATTTCTGCGAGCTTTCAGTTTGCAAGATACGAATTTTGATAAATTAAGAACCAGTAGCAGGGGGCCAGCGCATGGCATCACGACGCTGGCCAACGAAGCTAGTGATGTCATGGGAAGCAGTTGGAGACGTCCAACTGTGTACCTGCAAAGAAGTTTGAAACTTTTGACAAGCTGTCATCCTTGGTATGTTTTGAGAGTCCTTTGAACTGCAATGTGTATCATGTTGGCAAGTTCACCCTGTCAGCACGTGTGACGTCCGATCTCGTAAGGCCACTTAGGTTCATCAAGGCGTATACATCTTCATCACCATATCGAATCTCATCGCGTTCCTTACGGAACCATATCTCAGTGTGTGCATGCCTGTTTGTGTCAGGTTACACACACATATATATATATGGATATATAAATATATTGTATATATACTTGCATATATGTATATAAGAATCAGTGTACATGTCCAAGTATGCAAGGTATGTGTCTATGTCTGGTCTATCATGTATGCAACACGATCCTAACATATTGCTGGCTTCCAAGCGTTTTTTTTCGCTGATTTGCACATGGACTTGTAAAACCCATTGGAAATAGCACAAAATGGACACAAAGTGCTGTAAAACGCAAGGCATTTGAACATGGCGCAAAATCCATGGTGACAGAAAGTGCCATAAGGGTTATCGAAATAGCAAGATGCTTGTTTTCAAAACAAACAAAAACAACGGGACCGCAATGGACGACGTTACCTAGTTGTAGTGTAGTTGATGCTGTTGAGGTGACCACCGCAACCACTCCAAAAATCACAAGCACCTTTCAGTCCATCAGTGGATTCGCCCTGCCATCCATGCATCACAACAACTTACCTCTCCTATAGTGCCCTATCCTTGAAACTTCCGCCATCGCCTTGTGCGGTACTACTGGTGGGAGCATATGACATGCTCCATTCTACACTAAACAAACACTAGCGAAACTAGTGGCTAGAGTTGCTAGAGTTGTTAGAGGGTGCTGGCATGACCCAAAGCATGCTCTAGTCGCAGTAGCGCCAATTGTGCCAGTAGTGCCAGTGATGACTCTATCAGTGTCCGTTGTCTGTCTGCTGCAATATGCTGCTGGAGCTGGAGCTGGAACTGTGGTCCCTTGTGACCAGCTGTAAGAAAAACAACATGGTGGAGACCAGCTGTTGGGGGACTCGGTGCAGAGTTATCGTCCGGAGAAGTCATTCCAAGCTATCCCGGGATGTTATAAGTGTGGGTCTTGTTGCGGGTAGTGATAGCGGACAATGCGGGCGCCAACAACCCAAGGCCAAGGAATGACGATGTCAGGAATCACAAACAAAAAACGTTCATGGTAATGCTGCGGATGATGGCGTAATGACAGTGACAAATGGCTCCACAATCCATGTCGATATCCCCGAGAAAAAATCCGAAAAGCTAACTTGCAAAACCATAAAAAAACAACCCTCAACAGCCAACAAAGCACTCCCTGGCACACTGTTACTACGGTGGCAACACCCGGAGAACCCCGCTTTGCTCTTGACATCTCTTGACATTCTTGAACGCTTTTGGCCCAGCAATCCTCAAGGTCCAGGAAGGTGTTGCGCACCACCAACCTGGTTGGATCTGGCTCAGGCTGCCCCGAATGTTCTGCTCCGTCGGCTTGGTCGGTTTGTTCCTGGTCAGTGATGACATTCGGCATCGAGTGAAGTGAGGATCCACATGTCACAACAAGAGGGCCAAACTAGGCCATTTTGAAAAGGCAAACATCGTTGGAGACAATCGCAAACAATCACCATAGAATAAACTATGTTAGAAACATTGTGGAAAGAAGCTCAAAATTTTCTTCAAGCCTCCCCAAACAGTTAGACAACCGAACGTTGCTTAGACTGGCAGGACCGAGAAGTACAATATCTTGGCCTGTCAAGACCTGCACTTCTCACTTAGACGAGTTCGTGCGTTTTCCATCCTTTCGGAGCTACTTTACCGAAAAGGACGGGCAAACCCTTTGGTTCCTGTGGATTGAACTTTGCTTCTGCATCTTCGTGAATGCTTGGCGCGTAGGTGCCGCCGTTGGCGCGACGGTATGCAGCTTTGGCCAGCGGGACAACCTCCGCGAAACGGTTTCCTTAATCTGGATATGGGGAGATTGCCCCGAATGGCTTCAACTCTGGAGCCTCCCCAAATCATTCCCCCACTATGTAGGATACGGAAGAACCAGAACACTAATGAAGAAATGTTGGCTGCTAAAAGTACAAGTACATGATGAAAAGTGAGCCATGAAGGTCAAGGCGTGGGTCCGCTGCACTTTTGATTTCGTACGAGAACCTGTTTGTGTGATGCAGAGGCATTGAAGCTCGGCCCAAAATCAAACAAAAAACAAACATGCATCAACAAATAATATTGAAAATGTCATAATTTTAAGATGATATAATGCAAGGATCTCAAGAGCTCCCAGTCTGTTCGGCGGACAACGCACTGGTAAGAAACCAGCTCACGCCCGTCCAAGGTATCGAATGCCTCGATGTCCTAATTTGGAACAGCGTGGTGGAGATGGAATCCAGGTGGATCTGGCACAGTAGACAGGTAAAATATTGAATCTGGATGCAAACTCTGCCGGGTCATGTCACAAAAATCATAATTCTACAAACATCTAGAAACAGTACAGATGTGTGCCAAGAATGCCACATCATTATTGTCTTGAAGATTGTCTTGCTCATTCTTTCCATCATGATTGCCGGGCAAGAACAAGCCTTGCAGACTTTCAAACACCAACCTTGGAGGCAATTGCCCCAGTCCTCGCCGATTGCGTTGAGCAAAATCTTGACATACTCAAACAAGTGAAATCTGCTCTTTCCTTGGGGGGTGCATGTGTGAATCACCATGCAAACACCCCGGAGATTGGTGCACTTTATCCGTCCTACCGTAAGTGGACGAAATTCAAACCTTTTCCATCGAGTACAACTCCCTCACCCCCAAAGTTTAATGTTAATTGGACCTGAGGTGCTTTAGCTCCAATGGGCGAAATAATCAAAACCCCAAAGTCACTTTTGCCAACACGCGCGTTGAAACATTGAGATTTGGTGGCCGGGGGTTCCACACAGAGCCTGTTGCAGGTTTGAATATGTTGTCCATCTACTAGTCTTCCTTCGAGGACTCCAGACGACAAGACGTGCGAATATTTGGCTGCTGGGTTGCGAGGGTTGTGCTCTTGCTGAGTCTTGTAGCGTCGCCAGTGTGGCAAACCCAGTCGCTCTCCAGCGTCAATGGTGACTAAAGGTTCTCTGCTGCACGGCATCATGGGCAAGCCACGCTTGAAGCTTTGAATGGATAGGACCACCTTGGAATCAAGCTGTACAAAGTCATTGCGCAATCATGTGCAGCCCTTCCACTTCCAGATTCAGTTTAAAGTGTGCAGGCGCAACCTTGGACAATAACAGACACTACCGACAGCAGAGACTCTATAGCAAACGCAGGGGTGCTCTGTCTCCTCAGAAACTCAGGGATGAAACTTGGGTGTTTGTTACATCTTGTCACGTGTTTAGACCCTGTGCAAAAAACTAGACAGTGCTTTGGCACGATTCAAAAAATATACTGCAAGATATAGTTGCAGGATGTTGCAGGCTAGCACGTAAAACATATTAAAACATGTTGATTTATATAAATCCTTGAGCTCCCCGGTGCTCCGTTCGAGGCCGCAATATTCTATCTGCATGTGGTTTTTTGATGTTTTTTGCACATAAAATATTCGACAATGGAGATAGCAAACATTACTTCTTGAAGTGTGGCATTTGCAATCATGGTCATGTGATTTTGGAAACACTACGTACTCAAGGGGGGTTGGGGGTTAGGTTCTTTTAAGAAAACGCTGCATTCCTGCAACATTTTGTTCCCAAGCAATCCATGATACCAGAATGTTCGGGAATATGGCCATGGACTGCTTTCACGATCACTATGAACTATTTTAATTTGGAATATTCTGACTGTTATTTTTCCCGAGTGCGTAGCAAGGGTTCCCGTTTCACTCTGGGGGTCTGGGGGTATGGGGGTGTGTTCGCTCGACGTTACCGAACCGTCCGCAACCGTCCGCAACCGTCCGCAACCGTTCTCGTGATGGCCGTATGGCCGTGCCTATGGTAAGTTTTGCAGAGGGGTCGTTGTTGGAGGTTTCACATGCCGCGTTGCTTGGTTTTGCGTGGCAGGCCTGGCACTTCGTGACATTCAGACGTGTTTTGTATAACGTGTTGAGATTCGTTTTGTGTGGCATGCGCAGTACTTTGGCGACGTTTTCAGAAGATGCGTTGCAGTTTTCGTGGCAGGCGCAGCACTTCGGACGTGTCCATCGTCATTTTGCGTGGCAAGCGCAGCACTTGAGACGTGTCGTGTTGCTTTTTTTTGGCGAATTGCATTGTCAGGGCTGTGTCAAGTGGCGACAAGGTGCACATTCCATGGCAGGCGTGGCATTTTGTGAGATGTGATAAAAAGTGACGGAAGCCTCGCACGAAACATCGATTCTTGAGGTAGCAAATTTCAGGTTCTAAGGAAAACTCGTAGGAAAACGTCGATTTTGACGCTACAAAGTGTGAAAATTGGAGGAAGTCTCGTACGAAATGCTGGTTTTTCTGCTCCCACGTGTCCACAAGACGAGTTGCAGTTTTCGTGGCAGGCGAAGGATGTTGGAGATCTCTGTCGTCATTTTGCGTGGCAGGCGCAGCACTTCAAACGTGTCGCACTGCGTGCTCTACACTCCGCACTCTACACTCCACACTCTACACTCCACCCTTTACACTCCACCCTTTACACTTCACACTCCACACATTCCACTCTACACTTTATACTCTACACTTTGCACTCCACACTCCACACTCTACACTCCACACTCTACACTCCACATTCCACACTTCACACTTTACACTCCACACTCCACACCTCACACTCCACACTCCACACTCCACACTGTACACTCCACACTCTACACTTTACACTCCACACTCTACACTCCACACTCTACACTCCACACTTCACACTACACACTCCACATTCTACACTTTACACTCCACACTCAACACTTTACACTCCACACCTCACACTCCACACTCCACACTCTACACACGACACTCCCCACTTTACACTTTACACTTTACACTGCCCACTTTACACTTTACACTCCACACTCTACACTCCACACTTTACACTCTACACTTTACACTCCACACTCCACACTCGAAATATTACACTTCAGACTCCACACTCTACACTTTACACTCCTCACTCACCACTTCACACTCTACACTTTACACTGTACACTCCACACCCCACACTTTACACTTCACACTCAGCACTCTACACTTTATACACCCCACTTCACACTCCACACTCTACACTCTGCCCTGTACACTCCACACTCTACACTTTACACTCTACACTTTACACTTTACACTCCGCACTTTACACTCCACACTTTACACTCTACACTCCACACTCGACACTCTACACTCCACACTCCGACTCCATCCTTTACACTTCACACTCCACACTTTACATTCCACGCTTCAAACTCTACACTCCACACTCTACACTTTACACTCTACACTTTACACCCTACACTTTACACTCCACACCCAGCACTTTACGCTTTACACTTTACACTCCACACTCCACGCTTTACACTCCACACTTTACACTCCACACTCCACACTCTACACTTTACACTTCACACTCCACACTTTACACTTTATACTCCACACTGTACACTCCACACTCTACACTTCACACTCAATACTTTACACTTTACACTCCTCACTCCACACTCTACACTTAACATTCCACACTTTAAACTCCACACCCCATACTTTTACACTTCACACTCCACACTCTACACTCCACACTCTACACTCCACACTCTACACTACACACTCCACACTTTACACTTTACACTCCGCACTTTACATTCCACACTTTCCATTCTACACTTTACACTCTACGCTTTACACCCTACACTTTACACTCCCAGCACTTTACACTTTACACTCCACACTCCACACTCCACGCTTTACACTCCACACTTCTCATTTTACACTTCACACTCCACACTTTACACTCCACACTTTACCTTCTACACTTTACACTCCACGCTTTACACTCCACACTCTCCGCTCCACACTTTAAACTTGACACTCCACACTTTACACTCTATACTTTACACTCCAGACTCTACACTCCACACTCCACACTCCACACTTAGCACGCCACCTTCTTCCATATTCCACAGCGTACGGTGCACTGTTATGGTAACAGGGAAAAAATGTACAAGATTGTTTAAATGAACTGATGCACAAAAGTGTTCTACGTAACTGCATATCCATGTGTTTCGACATCTGTACCATTGACATACGTGTGAGCAATCGGGTTTCTGGGCTGCATCTTGTTTTTAGAATATTCTAATTAGTCTAAGTCGAGGTGCGTATTATTCTAACTGCATTGGTTTATTTAGTTCTGGATGATTCTATCTGCTAGCAGGTTATTGTACGTATATATATATGCATGTATTTGACGATGTATGTATGACATGTAATGTAATGTATTGTATTGTTTTGTTTTGTATTGTATTGTGTTGTATAATGTTGCAATGTAATGTAATGTACTGTACGAGTAATGTAATGGAATGTAATGGTATCTTTGTGAGCCAAGTTGCGTAGAACTTCTCATCAATCTCACGCAGCTTCTGAATGTTCGGTCGATTCAGAAACCACTGCGTTGTGTTGCGCACAGCTTCAAGGACTTTGCGAAACCTTCCGTCTTGCACGCGGCAAATTTCAAGTTTGGGATTCAGTCTGGAAAGCAGCAATACATCAAACAAAACAACGGAATTACACCTGCTTCCCACCTCGCAGCAACCAAACTACACAAAGTAAAAGGACAAACTGGGACAAACGCTGGATTTCCGTCTGTTTTCCGGCAAGAGGCTGAAATGTGGCCCAGCTGGCAAACTTGTCCTGCATAATACGGAAAGCAAACACAACGTTGAACTCGCCCTTTGTCGTCTCTGGTCGAATCACCATAATTCCATGAAACGTCTGGCCACCTGAAGACGTTGCATGGCCGAACCGCCAACACTACAGAAAATGACAGAAAATCTCTGACAAGAACTCCTGGTTCAGAAATTAATCAAGCCCAGAGAATCCAGTCTCCATGAAGAATCCACTGCAAGTGCCCAAACAAGTATCTGGAACTTGAATTGAAAGCTGCGAGACTGCGCCTTGCCAAAATGCAAGAGCGCTGTCACCTTCCGAAGGACAGTCTCGACGAACCTTCTGTTGCACTGCAATGGGACATAGGGCATCGTGATAGAAATAGTGCGGAAAGGCCCTTGGCTGCTTGGATCGTCAAGTACAAATTTTCCTGAAAAAAGGAAAGTGCCACTCATCCTAGAGAGACCAATGGAGATCAATGGAGCATGGAAAGCTAACCTGAGAGCCTGACAAAATTTGGATGGAGAGTGTGGAAACGAAAGCCAAGGGTGACGCGGCACAGCTGGCAGCAACAAATTTCCCAGGTATGCACACTAGAATTTGCAAGCAAACCAACGACACATGAACCCACAGTGGCAAGAAAACAAAAGTCAATACATTTCATCGTTCAAGTCTGCCTATCATACCCGGGAAATTTGGACTGGGAAATAAACACATATGTATGCGTGTATGTATGTACGTACGGACGTATGTATGCATGCACGCATGTATGCATGTATGCATGTATGCACGTACGTACGTATGTATGTATGTACGTACCTACGTACGTATGTATTTATGAATGCATGCATGTATGCATGTATGCATGTATGTACGTACGTACGTATATATGTATGTATGTATGTATGTATGTATGTATGTATGTATGTACGTACGTATGGATGGATGCATGGATGGATGGATGTATGCATGCATGCATGCATGGATGCATGGATGCATGGATGTATGCATGCATGCATGCATGCATGCATGGATGTATGTATGTGTGTATGTATGTATGTATGCATGCATGGATGTATGTATGTGTGTATGTATGTATGTATGCATGCATGGATGTATGTATGTGTGTATGTATGTATGTATGTATGTATGTATGTATGTATGTATGTATGTATGTATGTATGTATGTATGTATGTATGTATGTATGCATCATTTTGTATCATTATGTATCATTGTGTATCATTACGTATCAATATGTATCATTTTGTATCATTATGTATCATTGTGTATCATTATGTATCATTATGTATCAGTATGTATCAGTATGTATCACTATGTATCATTATGTATCATTATGTATCATTGTGTATCATTATGTATCATTATGTATCATTGTATATCATTGTATATCATTGTGTTGTCTGCGGGGGGAATTCAAAAATGGAAGAGCCATTCTCTTACCGAGGGTCGTCGATGGATTCGAGATGTCACCAAAGAGCACGTTGCACAATCGGAAAAGAAAACTGCACGTTCGGCCCTCCAGAATCGCTTCACCCGGCGCAACAAATTCTGATCGGCTGATCCTGAGCAGGCTAGAGTGACAGGATGATGCAACCTCAACAAGCCAATATATTCTCTGAATTTCATCCTGAACGCCGCGATTCGAGATGCGGTGATATCTAGGGGGTAGCTTTATCTAAATTATTTGCAGGTACTTGTTTCGGTTGATGATCTGCCGATGTTGTTCATTCCTGTCGAGTGAACCGATTTGGATGTGCCCACAAGAGGCTCTGCAGCACAGTCAGCAGTCCGAGTTTCAGTGTCTCGGCTGCAACTCCTTTCACTCCACTTTCCGCGGCTCGAACTTCTGGCCTGACAACCAGACAGAACCAAACAGAACCAGACTTGTTCAAAACATTTCAAAACCACAACAGCAAAGACCTAGCACATCTAGGGGCTGAGGGTCACTGCTCGCAGAGCATGAAACTCTCATGAAAGTTTATCAACGTGACAGCGACAAAAAAAAGCAACAGTTGTGGCCTTACGATCAAGTTGCTGGTCTTTTCTGGGGCATTCTGGATTTGAATGTTTTTGAGTCCTTGGATGGCAGGTATGATCAAACAAAGAAAATTGCGTTCTAAACATGATACGGGTTGATAAGCCCTTAAATGCAGACTCAAAGATCAAATCGGCAGCACATTCAAGGGGCCAGGCAAAAAGCCATTTACAAGGAACTTGATGGGTTCTCAGTTTCACATGGTATTCGCACATTTGTTTCTTTGCATGGGAAGCACAAGCCTTTACACATCGTGGTGTTGCGTCAAGTACATCGCTTTGACCGCAAGTGGTATCCCAAAAATGGTGTGGCCAAGTGTCAAACTTGATAAGATGGCCTCCCCACGGGCAGCTTCGATGCCACAATTGAGCCTTGGTTCAACCCTCCGCAACTTTTTTTCTGCGAACGACAAGTGTGCTCTGACAGGCAGGGACATGGTTGGCTGTGGGTGACCTGCTTTGATATTGATTGTGCGGGTGGCACAATTTGCACAAGAAGGGTCTATGGAAAAAAATGCAGTGGTGTTGAATGATGTTGAAACTTGCATTATTTCCCTCAAAAACGAGCAATGAAATCCAGTTTACTGTACTGCTTGGTAATGATCGTGATGGTGATAACAAAGAGGACAACGATAATGCATATCAATCTTACTCGTTACTTATTGCTATGCAATATGGTTCATCATAGTTGATCATTGTCATTAAGTTGCTTAAGTTGTTCATTTTGAACTGGCCCTCAAGCAGTGCTCGTGGCTTTGATTGATGCATTGAGCAAGTTATGTATATCTAACTAACATAGTTTCGTTAAGTTCACAAAGAGTTGGACAAGGAACATTCGGCCTAGACAAAGCCAGAGACCAGGACACTGGCGTCAAGACCTCGGGCATCGCCTTCCAGGAGCAAAACCATTTTGCGAGTTTTCCAGGGAGGATCCTAGCATCATATGAATGTTGTCATTTATAGATATTTAAAATCTTACGTAGTACATATATAATACTGTATATATATATAAGTATATATGTATGTATGAATAACATTGAATAACTATAAATATATGTCGAAAAGTCGAAAAATGTTCCATACCTTTCCAGATTATATTTCATCATGTGTTGATCGTGCCGAAGACAATTCAATATGGCATACATGGTAACAGTCTGCCTGAAACCACTCGTCCACAGCTAGCGGAGCAATTAAAGGAGCAGACTCCATTCTGCTCAAAGCGCGCAAGGGTAGATTAGAAGCAGCGGTGCTGACTCACTGACACTAGAGCCCAAAGCAGCAGTGAACGAAGGAATGAAACTGGCCCTGCGCTTTGCATTGAACAATCACTGGATGGAATTGAAATCCAACCATTGGCCAACTATTGGAACCAGAATATGTTGCCACTTTAGAGTGCAAGAGATGGTCCACCATTGCTACAAGAAGCTGAAACACACGTCATTATGGCCGATTGTATGTTTTCGTTGGCCTTATCGCTCTGCAGGTGCTATCCCGAGAAAAAAATATGTAATGTAATGCTGTCAAGGTGCACAATCAGGGGATAGTAGACTGCAGCAATGGAATCCAAGGTAACAAACCTTGCCAATGAAGGGTGGCACCAACAGAAACCATGTAACTCAAATAATGTATGTAGATATATATATATATAGATATTCAAATATATATATATTCAAATATGTATATATGTATATATTCAAATATGTGTATATATATATATAAATGTATATATTCAAATATGTATATATATATATATATCTATTCAAATATGTATATATACATATATTCAAATATGAATATATCTATATATATATACCATATATATACACATATGCCACCGTTGTTTTCTCTCCAGTGCCAGCAGTTTACACGAACGTCTCTAGATGTTCACCATCAACCCAAGGGACGGCAAGGCCTTCAGCCAGCCCGTCTCACCAAAAGGTCTCCTCCCACCGATCATGGTGGAGGGGGGGATGGGTGACTTGCGCGGAAATGTTGGACGGCGACCTTTTGATCAAACCACTCTACCGAAAATGTTCTCAAACTATCATGCCACCGTTGTTTTCTCTCCAGTGCCAGCAGTTTACACGAACGTCTCTAGATGTTCACCATCAACCCAAGGGACGGCAAGGCCTTCAGCCAGCCCGTCTCACCAAAAGGTCCCAAACTTGCCCGATGTAGCAACGTAGGCGCCTTCTGGTTTACCGCTTGGGTCATTGCAGGTGCCGAGAAAAATTTCTGCGATAGCAGCCAATTCGGTTTGTGAAAACCAAATGCCAGTTTTTTGCGCAACTTGAAAGGATATGGTTCAGCAATCTTGGTATACCAAGCACCGGAAGGATGGAGACCAGACAAAGGAATGTGAGGCTTGCCATTTGCCACTGTGTACTCACATGGAACACTTGCAAAAAAAAATCCAACTAAGATACTCAGGCCAAGATGTACTGAAACAATTCATGTTGGTTTCTTCCAAGCCATGCCAAAAGCACAAAAAGTGACATCAACCAATTGAACTGCTCTTCCTCGGAATATGTTCTGAACACTGGGGCACAACCAAAGGCGACTACGCTCAGGGTTTTCCAAGGTCCATGGGATATGATAAACCAAAGCCAGGAGTAAAACAGCACATGAAAAACGCATCAAACAGTTACCCTGTCGTACTTTGCACTCATATCTGCAGGCCGAAGGTTGTCCAGTCCAAGTGGCTCTTTGTCGCTGCGAAGGCGAGGTGGCCCACCCGGCTGATCCCTTGCTCGGGAAAAATCCGGTGCTTAATGAGCTGTTGGTTGGATCGTGTGAGCAAATCATAATTCTCTCCGAATTTAATATCCTAGAGTAAAACAGGCCAATGGATGTGTTGGGCAATTGTTTTGCCCAACCGACCACTTCCAGAAATAATCTCCAAGAAAAAAGGAAAGACCATGCATCTCTGTGGGCTCAGGGCCTTTTTGACGAGAGCTTTTGAACGTCTTTTCTTGGCTTGTATGCATTGCTTTTGTGTTTGAACGTCCAGACTGCCGAAGAGCTGGGCTAGCCTGGACCCCTTCTCGTAATTCCGAACACTCTTCAGTGATTGCCATCGCCCTCCGCCTTGGATGCCCACGAGGCTTCGAAGACGACTTGCGGCCTCGTGGGATGATGATGATGATGATGATGATGGTGATGATGATGGTGATGATGGTGATGATGATGGTGTGCGGCGAAGGTAGCTTGCACCATAAAGCGACCTCCAAAATACCAAGGAAACTTCAAGTCACGTCCGCGCGCCGGACCAGTCCGGTGTATGCAAGATTCACAACAATGCAATCACATGAAAACACACCTATTATTAGTTGCTGAAAGCTGGGACAGTGTATATTGATCATGTCACCGCCGAAAAAGATGTACTTATAGTGAAACAAAGCGGTTGTCTGAAGTTTTCTACGTGCCATATTCCAGATCCCAATTTGATGGTATTTGTGCCGAATAGTTGCATGCAGAAAATATCTCGCCCAAGGCCGGGGGGAAGGTGGCTCTTGATACGAGGCTGTAGAAGAGTCCAAGTGGTGAGGTCGTGAAAATGGCCGTGTCATGGTATAGATAATGTGACGCGGGATCTTACCGGAAGGTTGCACACTTGGTCCGCAGGACCATAGAAATGGAAACACTCGGGGAGAGGTTATGTGGATCCCACTACTCAGGACTCTGTTCCCCTCGGGTCATACCCAGTGAGGGGGTCTGGAAGATCGTGGGACGTACCCAGTGCGATCTGGTGAGAGTAGAGTCGGGATCAGGGAGTAAGAAGTGGGGGATACATGGTAGGAGGTTCAGCAGAATGGTATATTAGAGTCTTTCAAATCCATTTACTATACTATGTATCATCCGACAATCGTGTCGCGTGTGAAAACCGTCACTGATTGCCCTTGCGCCCCTTTCCCTTCCCTTTGCCTCTGCCCCGGCTCCCGGAGGCTGCACCTCCTTTACCTTTTCCTTGTCCTTTACGCTTTGATAGGGGGCCTCGATCTGGGTATATTTGGATACCTTTTGGGGGTTCATGCGTCCTGGATCCCACACAAAGGGAGCCCAATTGCCGTCATGTCGAATCCTTTCAAAGTACAGTCTGGAGGGTTCTCCTCGTTTGAGTATGATTGCAATTGCCCCTGACTTGTCTTTACGGACCCATTCCAAATGTGCTGTGATATCCAGATCCCGAACCAGGTGTTCTCGATCGTGCTGTGGGAGGGCCCCCCTTTTGCTGTTGGATAGCGTTCTGGCTTTTTGTTCCAGTGCTTCGGGGTCAATTGGTTGTAGCAGGGACGATTGAACGTCTTCTGCCAAGGCTCGTGCGATTTCCGCATTGACATCCCGACCTTCGATTTCCTTGCGTTCAAATTTGTCCCACACTTATTTAACTTTGTCCCCGTGCTCCACCCGGAGTCTTCTGTACCCCTCTTGTTGCTCTTGTACCAGCTCCACCCGGTGTAGTCGTTCCTCGACGGCATCCAGTCTTGCTTTGTGTTCTTTAATGTTCTTTATAAGCTGGTTGGACACTTGTACTTTACGGGTTGTGGGCGAGGCCATGGCAGGGGGGAATAGCAGAGCGCGAACGCAAAAATTGCTACGAAGTGCCACATTTGAGTTTGAGATTGCTGCGGTGTGTGTGGTCAATGTTTTCCTCTTTTAGGGATTTTGCCGATGAGTCCATCCGCCAGAGCCTGTGCTGAATGACTGTTTCTTTCATGGGTTTTCCGGGCGAGAACCGATTGGAAGACTTTGGGGCAATATTTACATGTGAGGTTGGCGTTGCCTGGTCCGCTACATGTTGGAACATGCTGGTTATAGTTGCCCAAGCTGAAAGATTGGCCGCACTTTTCACATGTTCGAAGCGCTGCTGCGGGTCGTCGACGGGCCGCTCTTGGACGCGGTGGAGGCCTCGGTGGTGCAGGGGGTTGTCCCATGGGTCCCTCTGGTGGTGTGGTCCATGCTGTGCAATGTGGGGAAATGCGCGAATGCGTCCCTCTTTCGGCTAAACGGTCTGCTACCTCATTGCCATGTTCTCCACTGTGTCCTTTGACGTGTTGAAAAGTTAGTTGGATTCTGCTGCGAACTCTGTCCACTAACCTTGCGACCATTTCGACCAGTCCATTGTTACAGGTGGGGGTGGAAAGTCGGGTAGATACTCCGTAGGCGTAAATGCTATCGTAGTGGATGGTTGCTGTGAGTGGGGGGGCAAAAGGTGGGCGAAGTTCGATATATTCAAGGAGCCAACGGCCAAGCTTCTCCAATTGCCGACACTTCCCCTGTGTTGTTCGTGTATGTTGTTGCGCTCAGCCAAAGTGGGTCAAAAGAGGCCGTGGGTACAGGTCCATATAGCGCAATCACCCAATGGTGTTCGGGACTTGGGTTGGGTTGGGCGAAGATCACCGCCCCCCATCCTGCAGTGTTGTTGTGTCCACCGCGCGGATCCATCCGTGTAAATGGCAAAGTGGGGTGTGCGATGGAGGGTGGGGAAGTTTGGGGGGCCATGCACCATGAGCACGTCATCGATCTGATCTAAACGCGTTACGCTTTGTTTGGCCGGGCACGGGTGCGATGTGAGTTGCTTGCGTCGTCGGAAGTGCGCGTGACAAAGCGTACATGAATAGGTTTCCACTGTTACCAAACTGGGGTCTGCCATTGCAAGGTGCTCTTCGTAATGAAACGTGGCCTGGTTGGGTTTGGCAAAGGTTTCTGCGCACACTGGACAGGCCCATTGTCCTGCTTCATTTTTGTAAACTCGTTGTTGCCTGGTTCCTTGACCGTCTCGATGTCTGTATTCCCTACGAACTCTGCGGCGGGGTCGGCCGCGCCGTTGTTCCCCGACATCTTGCTCACTACCATCTGCACTCTGATCCTCTTCCACGATATTGGAGGTCGGAACGAAATTGGGTAGGGGCCTGCCTGGACGCCACTGGTCCAATGCTTGTTCAAAATCCCGGTTGACTTGTTCGTGGAAAGGCTTCATAGATGCGTTTCTTCCACTCTGTTTTGTTTTGTGCCAGGCAAACCAGTCGGCTTCTGGGGCTTGTGCTTTCTTCAAACAGGAGTTGATCCACTGTGCTTGGCGGTATGGGGCATGGGGTTTAGCTCCTGCGTTTTCTACCCATCTAAACATCACTGCCTTTTGGGGCTGATCGACATGCATTCTAGCGACATGTCCAATCCACATCAGGGTGGCTCTACGTACCATGGTTTCGAAAGTTTCCCACTGCGCTAGATGTCTTAATACATGGTTGGATAGTCCATAGGGATGTATCATCCTCAGTCTGATACCCAAACATCTGCGAATCGCCAAATGGATAACTTTTTGAGCTCTTTGAAGTTGGTTCATTTGCCAGGACCGTGTTTTACAAAAACTTGAAATGACTCCCTTAAGGACTGATTTCATGACGCGTATGCGGACCGAATATTTGATTCTGTGTTTGTTTGCGTGTGCGCCGCGACCCTTAGTCCATGCCCCGGCTACCCACCCAACTTTACGCAATGCTTTCGTGATGCGTGCTTGCGTTTCGGTGGAAAACGACTAGAACATTCCTTGTATCCCGGTTGAGTGGCCCATTGCCGCCATTCTCTACCGGCGGTGCTTACTCTAGAATTTGCAAAGCGACCCAGAGCTTCCGTGCCTGGTGTTTGTGTATCTAAACTATTTCCTAGTTCAGCGTTAAAAATCCCCTGCGATGATGGAAATACTGGTTGCGGTGGCCATTTCTGAAATCTGGTTTACCTGGTCCCGGAGGGTTTGGCGGTCTTCTACTGAACTGTCTGACGTGGAGGCGTAAACTCCGGTAATAAACAGACCTCTTCGCCATCCTTGCCTGGGTAATTGGAAGCCTGCGACCCTGGGGGATGTGGAAGATATCCTAGACCCACCTGATTGCCACCATGTGGTCCATATGTCCTCTAGCAGGAATGCAACTCTACCGCGATGTACTATAGTCCATTGTCGACCATGGTAAGAGCATTCTCGGATAGAGTCAGGTCCCTTAGTGTCAGTTAGAACGATACACCCCCAGTGTTGTATTTGCATTCTATTGATAAGACACTTTAATTTGAGTTCCCCGGTAGGAGTGATCGTATCAACTGTGAGTCCCCGGCAGTTCCAGGTAGCGATTTTGGGTCTTGCTTTACAGTCCTTCAGTCGTCTGATTTGGGTTTCATGTCTGCGTTGCCACTGTCTCAGAAACATTAGAGTCCGTCGTTTTCTGCATTTATGGTAGCATTTGAGTGTGTGTTTGATGATTTCGGATTTGGTGGTGACCCGCTCCCGGTGCCACTGCGGTTTGGAATGCTTGGTGTCTGTCTTGGATTCTTGTCTGAAGGGCTCGGAGTCTCCGTTTGGAGAACAAAGTCATGTTTCAGCAAAGTATGTGCCGAACGTCGTGAAACACAAATCAAGAGAACCGCGGTGAGTCCTATGATATTGGCACTAAGGCTGTGCGATGAGTCGAACAGTCTGTGCGTTTAGTGGAGGTTCGAAACTGGGATGTGACAAAGGTGCGTTTACCACCTCAATAA